GGGGGAGGAGGAGAGGGCCCAGCCGCAGAGAGGTTTGTTCGTGTGGGCCCCTGCCCGCCCCCCACCACCACCCTGTACCCCGAGGTGTGTCGCTGCTTTCTGTCTCCCTGGCCGTGGAAGGGCCCCAGCCCGTTGTGATCTCCTTGCATCTCTCTCCCTTGGGGATGGCTGGATGCTCTTGCAGGGTAGTGGCTAAAGAGTGGAGCTCTCCCATTTACCGGGGCAGCCGAGCTTTTTCTCCCTAAAGTGGTTGGGTTGATGTCTGTTTCTCGTGGCCAGCAGTCTGTAAAGTCTCTAGTCACGTAAAGGAAGGATGGCTCGCTCTTGAGCTGGTTTTGCTGCTCCATCTCTTCAGCTGAGGTGCCTCTCCTGCCTACACATGCTTTGGATCTGGTTGATTTCCAGAAAAGTTACCTGCATTTTCCCGCATTTTAGTGTCACAAGTTCTTTTATTTATGGATGCATGCACACATATGAAGGTCTTAGGTTTTGGTCACAAATAAATACTTAAAGTTACCATGTGTAGTTTTTGACAGTTCGACCTAAATGGCTATAATACCTGCAGTGTTTCTTTATAATAGGTCGGGGTGGAACTAAGATAAGAGAAATTGAGGATTCTTCGGGTTCCAGGATAAAGGTACCATGTGCTGTGTGTTGTGTAGGCCTAGACTTTATTGGGATTATATATATGCTTTTTCTTCTGTGTAAACCACAGTTACTGCAGGAGTTTGAAGGGTGTTGCACTAGCTGTAATAATTCTACTCTTTTACAAAAAGTGTAAAGTATATGTTTATTTCCCCTTCTTTTAGAAAGGGAATTAAAGGGCCTCTTCCTGGGAAGAGAAGTTTAAAAAAATTAAATTAAAAAAAAAAAATCAAAGATTGTTTTCAGTATGCATTCTTACATAATGTTTGTCTTTGCTGTATTAAAAAACTCAGTAAGGTTTTATGAACGTAGGTTATAAAGGGAACCTGTGAAGCTGAAGTAAAGATTTTTGGCAGCATTGCTGTGCAAAACAAAGCCAAGATGTTGATTGATGATGCTATTACAAGATCTGGACAAAACTACATTAGAGGTGGGACTGAGAAAGGTGAGAATGTGTTTGTGGAAAAAAAAAAAAGATTGTGG